TAGAATCAAGCAGACACGGAAGTTTAAATACCTGGGAAGCATCTTGACAGAGGACGGTAAGTGTGATACTGAGATCAGTAGGCATATTTGGGATGGCCAAGGACACATTCCAAATGCTGGGCAGAGTATTGCGAGACAGGAGGACATAGTTGGTAACAAATTAAAGAATATTGAGCTGTTACGTGACATCTGTCCTTCTTTACGGCAGCGAATGTTGGACGATTTCCTCAAAGATGAAGAAGAGAATCGAGGCGACAGAGATGTTGTTCTACAGAAGAATGTTATGGACCGAGCGTGTGAACAATGATGAGGTCTTAGAGAGGTTGCAAACAAGGGGGAGGCTTATACTTAATATTAGGAAGAGGTAGCTGAGGGTTCTGGGAGACATAATGGGGAAAGAGGGCGTGGAGAATCTGATACTCATATGTCGAATAGAGGAAAAGGAGACAAGGAAAAACAACGCGTGACATAGCTGGCGGACTTAAGGAAGTGGATGACAGAACGTGGTCTCGGGGTTTTAGCAGAGGCAAGGAAGTTGTTGAGAGCTACAAGGGATAAAGGGGCGTGAGGAGCCCTGATCGCCTACGCCCTGAAAGGACATGGCACATAAAAAGAAAGAAAGAACATAACAATACTGAATACTGTGAGGATTTCAACTCACATCTTTTTAGTATGTTAAAATCTGCTAAGACTCGTATCTTTTCTAACATAAGTAATGCTCCAATAATACGGGATATTGGAAATCCTTTACGATGGAAATATATGTAAAAGCGGAATCCTCGTCGGCCTTATTTCGTAACCAAAAAATTAATTTCTTCTTTGATGATTGCTTCCTTTATAGTGGGGGCATTGGTGAGGGCATTCGTCGACAATATGCAGGTTTAGTTTCATCACAATCTGGTCCGGTCATCCATTCTCTATTGCCACTTGGCTTTGCAAGATTTGCTTGGAGGCGAACGAAAATCAATGTAAAATAACGTGCCGAATAAATACTTAATTCACACTTATAAAGTATGAATTTATATAAGATGAACCACAACTTGCCAAAAAGTGACCCATACACTTGATTTCATAATCTTCCTCAATGGCATATACGGAATGGAACATTCATTTTTTTTTCTTTTTTGATGTTTTTTAATGATGTCGAAGAATAATGGTCTGTTGTGGTCTTTGCTTCTTAGTAACTCTCTTAAAATCGTGTGAAACTTGGATAACGTTATTGAAATAATTAGTTTGAAAAAGTTCTTCTATGACCTAAACAAGCTATTTGTGGTTTTACCGTTTTCTCGTTTGATTGCACAGTTAATTTTGGCAAATATTACTTGATTTGGAAAATACAGGGAAATGGTACCGTTACAATTAGGAAACTAACACGACGATGTAAAAAAGAAATCTACAGTTTTGACAATTTAGAAAGATTTCCCGTAAATTAGATATTTGGTTATAGTAAAAAGTATTTTCAAATGCCTTACATATGTGAAGAATTTTTGCGATGTTCTGCGTCGTGTAAATTAGATTATTTAAAATTACCTGTGTTGTATGGTCATCATCAACCAGTTTAGGCTATCCAGAACACCCCAGGCTTCCGGCTTATATTTTCCACATGTGAATCCAACGAACAACTTACGAACAATACTGTCAGCCATGGCACCATATCTATAAACAGCACCTCTATTTTTAGCTGTTTCCGAAACAAAAGAGCGTCAAATGACAAGGAAATACTAATTTTTCTCCATTTAATCTCTAAACATAAAGTTAGATTGAAAATTCACAATAAACACATGAAGGGTATAGAAAGAAAAAGGGTTAATAACGTTTGTTTTAGTGAAATGCAAAAGTTGTCCATTTAAAATCTTTTCATTTGCACCTTCTTGTGACGTTCTTGCTCTCGTCTTCTCCCGGGATCGCTAAATGTTTTGGATTCAGTGATGAAAGACATCAAACACGGATAATTTTAACTTAACTATTTTTATCAATCATGTCGACACCTAAATTATCTAACTACCCAGTAGACGTCGCCCCCCTCACTAGGGTGCGGATTCGTAGAAAATAAAAAGAGAACACGTATACATCGCTTGACGAGTAGAAACAACTCACTGAAAAATGTCTCTTATGTTATTCTCACGCTAGCTCAAACAATCAAAATCGACTTCCCTATTTTGCTTCAGCTCTGACCCCAGCTGTCAACCTCCTGAAGCTGGAGCCGAGATACACTTCCTCTAAACATAACAGTCCGCTAAACTATCATTTAACGTATTTTAGCTAATCATCAAAAAGATTCATTTTTGAATTTTATTTTAAATATTTAACTCTAAAGTACCATCTACTCTTTTTTTTTATGTCTGCAAGGCATGCTTCTCACATTTCTATTTTGTTGGGCCTCGGTCAGCTGACCCCTCCGGCATACACATATATCATTCCTAAAAAAGAATGAACATAAACGACAAAACTCTCAAAAGATTTTACACGCTTCACAAACATTTTACCCCCCCCCAAAAAAAAAAGACTACCTGATAATCTTTTGTCCATTTTTGGTCACTAGCTTCCGTGAACCACGGTGAACGCCTAAGATGACAGTCTGGATACAAATCACTCCCACATTGATATTTCCAATAATTCACCCCCCAATCCCAGGTTAGCAGGTACCACATCTGGAATCCAATATTACTGGGAAGAACAAAATTTCTTTGCTTTTCACAGACAATATACAGAAAAAAGCACTGGTTCAAAAATCACACAATACATACCGAAAGCCCCACACCACAAGGTCAATTAATGAGCCACGTCCTTGCCACCTAAATTTTACAACTGAATATATTATGATCTTAATGCATATCCCAGTCACAGAACACGTGTTCCCATATCTCAATATTTATTCAACCACAAAAAATTAAGTACCTCGTTACTTATATATTACCTGATTCACAAATTTACCACCATTAATTTTCTATAATTACTATTATTAACCATCTGCCTCTGTGTTCCAAAACTGAACACGCATTATCTCAAGTCCGTCTGCCCTTGGCTACAATCAGGGGCAAAAATATCACACCGCCTCAGCACCTCCTAATTAATCCATTACTGGTCTTCCCGTGGTGCAAGGGTTTTTTTTCCCTTAGTCGCTCTCGCGACCTGGCATCTCACAAACTACTTAGAGAATTCCTTTTAGTCGTCAGAAATATTCTTTGGTTGCGGAGTATCCTAGGGTATCTTCATCCTCTATGAATACTTCACAGCTTACAACTCCCATTGTCCGGTTTTGCTATCCATACAAGCAGGTGTGATAATTTTCCTCCCTTTGATAGAGAAGCAAACATATTCGGCAATCCGAACCTAATTATTCTCACAAAAAAATTAATTCACTTAATGTTTCCTACAAAAAATGACTCACAAAATTCACCAATTAACAACTTAATTCTTCAACCAATGATGGCAGAAGTATATGAACAGAGGCTTTTAAATTTAAAAAAAAAAATTCTATACACTGTTACAAAAATGAACAAAGCAATCTTTTGTCAGCTAATTACGATTAACAAAATAATTCTAAACTTTTGTACAAAGAAAAAACAAAAGAACAATAATCAGTCTCTCACTAAAAATGTTTTACCAAAATCGAAATTGTCGCATCAGTGTGTATGCGTAGGTGTGGGTATTCAATGTTCCTACTGTGTCCATTCTTTCTTTTTTTTACCTATTCGTGATTTTTTTGTCTGTCTATCAAAACCTGTTTGCTTGCACATGCGACAAAACCAGACCGCTTACACTTTTTATTTGTTTTCAGATTTTATTTTATCATTACTTCTTATTTTGGTTTGTTGTTTAGAACATAGTACTGTCAACGAAGTTAAAGATGTTTTTCTCTGTCTTCGTAACTTGATTATTTTTTTTCTTTTATTTTTTAATCTCTGGGTTGAGTTCTCCATCTGAACATCTCCGAACTTTTCCACATTGTGTTATAACCCCCATTCTGCGCCTCTGCCCTATGCTGGGAGATCCTGGTCACGACACCAATGCGGCCGGGTGTCGTTAAATGTTGGGGGTCCAGAGATGAAAGACATCAAACAAAATTTTAACAACTATTTTATTAATCATGTCGACATATTTAATTATCCAGTAGGAGTCGGCCCCTCGCTGGGGAGCCGTTTCGGACACGTAAGAGAACACATCTACATCGATTGACGTGTAAGAAACAACACCCTGAAGCCGGTTTCTTATCTTATTCCCATGCTAGTTCAGATAATCATAATCGATTTCCCTATATTGATCAACACCTGTCCCTAGCTGTCAACCTCCGGAAGTCTGTGCTGTGATATACTTCATCTAAAAGTAATAATCTGCTAAACTATTAACTCCCTTACTTCTTAGAATAACGGCCAGCATTCATGTTTATGATTATTAATAAAATATTTTGTTAAATTTTTTAAGCTCAAATATCTATAAGGGAATTTCTAAGAATATTTTATTACCGGGAAACTAGCCATTATTAATATTAATCATTAACTGAAGAATTAAGTCTCATCAGACATTTAAAATAAGAAAAACCGCGAAATTTTCACGGGTATATAATAATAATTATCGAACAAAGGAAATAAAAATAAAATTATATTACCGTATGTAAATGAAAATCTAATCAATTTGGTGTTCATTCACAATCGTGTATTAAATCAAATTATATCGAACTTTTTTGTTTTTCATATTCTTTCTTTCTTTATTTTTCCTGTTTTTTTTTGTTTCTTTCTGTCTTTCCTTCTGGTTTTATTTTTAATTTTCTCTATTTCATAAGCTTTCCATGTTCTTCTTGATTCTCTTCTTTTTTGGCTTGAGAATTCTTTACTTTCGGGCTTTGTTCTTATCTTTTCAATTTTATGTTCTTTTTTGTTTTGCTTTAGTTTTATTTTTTTTTGGTTTGCATCTTAATAAAGCTGTCGTTATTGGCAGTCAGTCGCTGCAGCTGCGCTTCTTGGATTGCCAAAGATGATACAATTCAAATTACCAAAATCATGGATGACTGCGACGTGAAAGAAAAAAAAGAACAACACTTTTTTCAATTGTGTCATGCACATAACATCAATGGCTCTCCGATGGTCTTCTTCATTTTCTTCTCCGTCAGAAGAGTGAGATTTTCAAGATTAGATTGGTTCGGTTTGGTTTGTTTTATGGCATATCAACCTAAATTGCAACATTTTTATTTTTGGTAAGATTTTGTTTTGTCAAAAATGTATTGCTAGTAATATTTTTCCTTCAAAAATGTATCGTTGGTAATATTTTTTTTTCAAAAATGTACTGTTAGTAATATTTATTTTTAAAATCATTGTTGGTAGTATTTTTTTTAAAAAATATATTGCTGGTAATAGTTTTTTTTTTTCTTCAAAAATATATTACTGGTAATAATTTTCTTTTACAAAGTATTTCTGGTATTAAAACCTATTTTTACACTTTCGTAGTGTTTTTACCTCAGTTTAGGGGTTAACTATTTTCCCATAGCTGGGATCCTAACAGGTGCTACCACACCGGGTCAGGGTGGACCTGGGAACACCAGCAATTAAGAGGTGGTTCCACGCTCCTCAAAACCTCCTAATCAGTGGCCTTGCTGCTGGACGTAGTTTATCATCTTACCCACGACGTGGATGTAGTTTATCGTCATACCCAGGACGATTCAAGATTAGGGAAAAGGCTTATCTCGAAGTCGTTGAAATCTTCTTGCTGCTTCCATCCCCTATCTATCTATCTATCTATCTATCTATCTATCTATCTATCTATCTATCTATCTATCTCAGAGTGCGCATATCTGTCTCTGTTTGAACATATCTATCTACCTATCTATCTAGCTATTTACTTCAGCTTCCATGTATCTAAATATCTAATTTGTTATGTTACATCTGTCTACCTACTTCGGAAACTTCTATCTATTTGATTATGCAAAAATGTATCTATATATGTGTATATCTATCCATCTAGCTATCAATATATATATATATATATATATATATATATATATATATATATATATATATAAGAGAAAGAACAAATGGAGTAAAAATCCATAGTTCTTGGCATTTATTTTTTTTAAAAAGTGCTCAATACAGAGTAGAGCAACATCTTATTATTATATTTTTATTATAAGAGATTATAATAAAAACTTTTTTAAATCTCTACACAAAATAAATTTATTATACTTCTTCATGCGATTGTAAATAACTGGTGATTAAATGATTTTTAAGGAAATTTAAAAACGATTTGTTACCTCTTTTCCGTTAGTTAAAGGGGAGAAAATATGATCAGAATTAAAAATAGACTTGTGGAATGTCTTGGTTAAGCAATTATATGTCAGATCTACATTAAATAAATACTATATCTACTCAGTGGTGATGGGTGAGTTAATTTTTCATGTTATGATAAATTGGAACATCGTTGGCGATTGCGGAAAATATGTCAGCGACAATTGTATCGTGATTGTACACAAATATGATATATGTTTTTTGAAAGTGTGTTGAATGTGACGTAAAATAAACAGTTTTAAATTTTTTTTTTTAGGTTGCTTAAAGAGGTCTGTAGATAAAATTAAAAATGGGGAACATCTGTATAAGATATGTGTAATACTAACTGGACCGAAGTACGTAGCAAAATTAAGGCTGAATAAACAAAATAAGGTACTTAGGCGTAGAGAGCGGAACATTGTCTGTTCATAAATTATAGCAACAAGAAATGGTAATAGGTAATTTTCAAAATTTAAATGTATTTCGATGTAAAAGATAAACTGGATCAAAAGAACTTTTTTTTTTTAGCAAATTTTATTATTTTTAATTTTTCTTGTAAACATAAGAAACACGGTTCATTTAAAGATTTACAAGTTCTCGTTTTTTGGGTTTTTTTTAATATTGACCATTTTACCGTAAGGATTTTATTAACTTTTTTTAAGTTACGAAAATATTTTAAAAAGGGACGTCCTATTTCTGTACGTGTTGTTGGTGAAAGATATGTGTATATCAGGAATTCTTGGTAATCCCGATAAAAAAAAAAATCAACTGTTAGATTTTCTATAGAAGAAATACTGCTTAGGTAATCAAGGGAGCCTGTTTGATATTAATTTTGTAATGGACACTCATTAGAATTTCTACAATTACACTTGTTGGTATGAGTTTCTCATGCGAAATCGCGTAAAAGATAGGGTCACTGAAAAAAGTCATAACTTGTTCGTTTTCAGTCTTTTTACTTTCTTTTTTGAAGGTAAGACAGCATCACCAGGAAATTTAAATGCCTACGTATGACGACCAGCAATGAGTAAAACGTTTGGGGTAAATTATTCCAAACTCAGAGAAAATAGCAGCAACATTTTAATGTCAGAGCATTCTCGAACCTAATCTCCATGTCCGAAAGAACTGGATCAGTCGGCGATCTTCTGGGAAGAGATCCTAAGCTGTCCGGCAGAATGTCCTTGAGGATCCAGCAGCTTCTAGCCGCCGTCGCTCTGCAGAAATAGGCATCGCCGGAACCTCGCTTCAGAAGATTTTAAAACAGGATTTAAAAATGTTTCTATACAAGATTTATAGGATCCAAACTTTAGTACCCCAAGATACTAATGTATCTGTAAAGGTATTTTTGTTTTATATCACTCAGTCTTTGAGTGCCGCCCCGTATTATTTCTCACGCCAATAAGAAATCGTTACGTTATTAACCTCTTCTTTGCAATGTCCTTGTGTCAGACTAAGTAATATTAAAATATCTATGTGTTACATTCATAGTTTTTTAATTAGTATGTTTATATCACTAAGCAGATGGATTGAGCAATATTACGTTTGGTTGTTCGATAAATAAAAAATCTCGGTTTATATGTTTTGACATTCGTTTCCTTTTATTTGATATTTTTGTTGGGTTTATTTGGAATTGGTTGCTTCTGTGCAATGTTTCTCAATTTCATTTCTTCGATTTTTCAAAACAATTTGATTCGAACTTAGCCAGCTGCTTCACGCAAATAAATGATATCCACATTCACACACTCACTACTGAAGACATCTATAGTGTATAAGTAGTCAGGGCGAATTCTAAATTAAAAAAAAGACTTTACGCAAAAAAGCTGTGAGAATTTTTTTGTTTTAATGTTTTCAGTCTAACCAAGGCGGCAATGTCGCAACAACGCAGGGAGCTGCATTGAACACGAAAGAGAATGAATAGATTCAAAATGGAGGTGATTGAGGAACTGATAAAAAAATGAACAGGATCACAAAAAGACTCAAATTGATGTTGCAGTTAAAATGTTGACAATTTCAGAGGACAGTAAGTGCGACACTGAGACCCGTAGATGTATTAGGATAGCCAAAGACACATTCCAAAAACTGGGCAGAGTATTGCAAGACAGGGAGATTTCTTTGGTAACAAAGAAAAGAATACTGAGCTGTTACGTGACATCTGTCCTTCTTTACGACAGCAAATGTTGAACAATTTCCTCAAAGATGAAGAAGAGAAGGCGGCAGAGATGTAGATCTACACAAGGATGCTAAGGATATCATGGACCGAGCGTCTGAGCAATGATGAGATCTTGAAGAGGTTGCAAACAGGGAAGAGGCTTATACTTAATATCAGGAAGAGGCAGCTGAAGTTTCTGGGACACATAATTGAGGAAGGAGGGCCTGGAGAATCTGATACTCACGGGTCAAATAGAGAAAAAGCGAGACAAGGGAAACAACGAGTGACATATCTGGCGGACTTAAGCAAGTGGATGACAGAACGTGGTCTATGGGAGGAAGAAGAGGGAAGGAACTTGTTGAGAGCTGAAAGGGATAGAGGGAGGTGGAGAGCCATGATCGCCTACGTCCTGAAAGGACATGGCATATAAAAAGAAAAGAAGTTAACCGGGAAGCAAGAAATCAGAAGGGAGATGAAGTTCGCAAATCTCGGCAAATGGAAATAAATATTACAATATCTGATCATAGCCAGTAATATGAACGTTGAAGAAATATGTCCTGCCCGATGAAACAAAGCCGACAATGAGACGACCATCAAATATAAACTGTGAGGTTTCAGACATAACGTATAGTAATCGGATATAAACGAATCCATCGATATATTTATGAATGAATAGGATCAACGAAAGAATTGTTCAGAAGTACTGAATAAAATTAAAGATTATTATCTATAAAATAACGAACATAGAGTTTACATCTAATAGGGAACACTAGACAAGTTAGTAAATGGTAGAGGAAAGAAAAGACCAACAATCAGTTGTAAGACAGAGAAATATAAGACCGTTAGCATGAAGGACTGCTAAAGATTCAATTTGCAGACTTCATCTTTAAGGACTCACAGAAAATGTTTTTCAAGTACAAAAAGTGTCATTTTTAAATTCGTCATGCTAATTTACTGTTGAATCTTGACTAATGCATGGAATAATAATGCAACACAAAATGTACTTAGAACAAAATGTATTGAAAGAAGAAAGTGTACACAATATTTACATATAGTCTTTTGTATATTCCTGGGAAGACCGTTCCTGGAGAATGTGTTGACTTAGTCGCTGTTGGGCAGAGTCTCTGGTTGAATCTCTTGATTCCTTCCCTCGTCTTCCCGGTACCAACGATATTTATATGGTCGGTACTCCACTATGAAAATTAGGTGGATCCTACCACAACATTTACAAACGAGACTAACGTATTCTGGATGAACGCTTTGGGACTGTCACCTGTCCGTTTACGCAAATTTGCGAAAAAGCCACATCAAATTTCAATCCGTAGACTGAACGAAACAACTATATTTTAGAGAAAATGGAATTAAAAGGCAGACATATTTAACACGAGGATGAGGTGCCTCGAACTGGTGTAATGGTTAACAAGCTTGCCTCTCTAGAACAATTACAACTGAATAATGAGTATGCTCCTCACTGGGTTACCCATACTTTCAGCCATGTGTTACATCAAAGCTACGCTTAGAAAATCGTTTTAACACCAGGATGAGACAGTTGACAGTATTAGGGACCATAATGAGGATAGAAGGCTTGGAAATTCTGATACTCACATGACAGAGACAGAGGAAGACAATGCATAACCTGCTTAGTGTGCATTAAATTGATGGCGGAACAGGTTTTAGTAGAATTTAAAAAGAGATAAAATTTATTAAAAGCTATAAAGGACAGGAAATTGAGGAGAGTCATGATCAACTACGTCCGACAATAGAAGAAGAAGAATGTGTAGACTATTTACATTATTCGGACAATCTTCCTCATCTTTGTCGCCGTATTTATCGAAACGTTTCGGTCGTTGCAAGCTCCGACCATCAGTTGGTTGGAATGTCGAACTGAACCCTTTATTTCGCTCACAGGGTTAGACTGTTCTAGTTCCACGTGCCATATCTAATGGATGTCAGTTATCAGTTATCTCCTGTTAAGTAACCACTCTAAGTTCTCTACTGCCTTAACCGGTTATTGAACTCACAACTCTTTGGGTCCTGTCACTGGATCTAACTAACACATTTATCCATTGTGCTATGGTTCAGAATAATATAAATAGTGTACATAATACCCCATCTCAGAAATATAGACAGATACTGAAAGGCCGAAACGTTGTAATAAATACGGCAACAAAGATGAGGACAATAGTCCGAATAATGTAAATAGTGTACATAATATCTCACCTCAGAAATATATACAGATACTGAAAGGCCAAAACGTTGTAATAAATATGGCGACAAAGATGAGGACAATAGTCCGATAATGTAAAGAGTGCACATAATGCCTCATTTCAGGAATATAGACATATACTGAAGAATGTGTAAGTTGTAAAGTATAAAAGAAAATCTTGGAAAAAAAATAATTGATTTCAACTATTCATTGTCTGCGTTTTGAATAATCCTACAAAACAAAGACAAAAAAATGGTAGTTTTATAAAAAATGATAGAATAAATGATTATGAATTCCGGATGGGCAGTGACATCGTTTAAGATACCTTGCAAATTCTAAAGAAATCATAAAGAATCAGAAAAAAAATGTTAGAAACAAAGAAAAGATCCATTATCAATCCTCCTCTATGGAACTAAATAATAGACAGTTTCCTCAATGATAAAGCTATCACTTGTGCTGTTTCTTATTTTATTTTCCACACACACATACACAATAAAAATTAATTCACACCACGTGTATCAAAAAATACAATTGCGCGGGAATTCATTCCTTACTATGCCCTGTGGGGTCAAAAACAAGGACGGCGCACCCAAAAGTTCGGACGTAGTGAAAAGCACACCACGTGGTCAAAAATAGGATTTATTGACCAATCAGGACTCGACATAAGAAACCCGTTTCTTAATCTCCCCGGACCTCATCATTCTTATATAAGGAAGGTAGAAACTCTCATCAGAAGGGAGAGAGAACAGCGACAAGCTGACATCAAAGCGACACGGACAGTTTCGAGCACACACACACCGAGAGGATTCAGCGGTTCACACAACAGGCAGTATCACGTATCAGTGAACATTCTTTCACCCTCTCTTTCTCTCATCTCGCTCGCTACACATAGTCCTACCTTTCCCTCTCACATTCCCAGTTCCTTTCTTTCTCTTTTTCTTCCGCAGCTTTACGGACAATTTCATTTTTGTACAAGGAAAAAAAATAATTCTTTACAAAAATAAACAAAAGTTTTTTTTTTACTTTATTTGTAGTGTATTTTCTTTTTATTATTTGTTTGAGGGACTTCTTTGCACCCACTACACACTTGAGAGAACAGAGATGTGTTTCGCTAGAAAGGTTCTGAGATTTTCATCAACAGAACAGGTGAGAACAGAAGACGTTTTGAAGCAAATGGTAACGAGGAAACTTTAGCCTTTGAAAAAAAAAAAAGAAGACAAAACGGACTTTTCAGGAAAACAATGCGAAGATTCTTATGAATTTGACCCTTACGTGAGAGAGAATGGGGGGGAAGCAACAAAAGGCCATTTTGTAGATGTATGGCAGAACAGGGACTTGGAGTGATATAAAGAGGATAAACACTGCTTAGAGGTGGGAAAGACATCTTCCACTTCATTAAACGATAGGGCACATAAAAGTAGAGATTCACTAAGAATACTGAAGTATTCAGCATTATCGAAAAGATAGTCTTCAGAGAGAAACAGGATCCATCACTTGCTTAAAATACAGCGAATATGAAACGGCTATTACAAGTCTAATAATAAATTTAATCCTCGATCAATTTATAAAGTCTTACTAGAGAAAGTGAGTAAAATTACTAGAGAATAAAAAAAAATACTAGCCGACCAAACAATACTCTGTAGAAAATATGCAATATAGGAATAGATTTTTCATTTATTGATCTGATATGTTTTAATTTATTGATTAAACGTTTTTTTTTTTCTTAAATTTATACCAATATTTAAGTAGATGGTCTGGTTTATTTATTAAACAGTATAATTCTTTCCGTCTACTGATCTGAATATTCGAGAAATCTAATTAGAAAAATAGGTGTTCTCTGGCAGGATTCGAACCTGCGTTCCCCAGGGTGAAACCGTCTTTAGATCTGGCGTGCTGTTGATTTAACAGCCACGAAGAACGTCCAGATCGAACAAAACCCGAATAGTGCATTTAAAAACAGACTTTTTCCAATTCTCAAAATATTGATCTCTTCCCAGTTTCGTATCCTAACGTAAACAGAGAACATTTTTAAGAATTTATTAATTCGACATATATGAATTTATTGCTAAATCTTTCATCTTTAATGGATACACAGATTTCAGTAGATTCAAAGTTTATAAATAAACAGGGTACCTACTGAAATATCGATGTGCATTACTGTCATATACCGTAAATATGAACACTAGTGGGTATATACCAGTCCTTATTAATACGTTGGACACTATTGTAAGTTAGGGCAAGATGTTGTCTAAGTAGTCCACACTAGCAGTGGTTTACCTAATTCACGCCGCTGGCGAGTATTTTAATTTCTTGATGTTATAAAGATTACCATTTCATTTCCAAACCCCGTTTTTGCTATTCCTCATTCAGTAACCTTTTCTCGGTTGCAACAATTACAATTAACGTTAAAAAAATAAAATAATATATAGAATAAAATTCCTCATATCCGGGATCCCTCATTTCCGGGATGCCTCATTTCCGGGATGCCTCATTTCCGGGATCCCTCATTTCCGGGATGCCTCATATTCGGCTGCCCGCATATCTGGACACGATTTTGGTGTATACATTTGAACTCTTTGGGTGATATGTAACTGATTTGAAATTTCTGTTTTTTAGGAAATTAATTTGGATAATTGCTTATGCTTATTTCACCCCAATTGCTCGTGTTGGTGCAAAAGATGATGGGAATAAGAGGAAAATAACAACTTTGGAATTATCGTAAAACGTGGAAATTTTAAACAGACTAGACGCTGGTGAAAGTTCATTGTAACTAATGTTTAAGATCAACAAAGGAAAATCAACATTGTATGATATAAAACCTTTCAAAGAAACTATTCTCCAGCGTCCACACTGTCACAACGAACAAGGAAATAAAGAAAACATGATTGTGATGAAACCTAGACTGAAATTGAAAAAGCTATTGAAAAGGCTGTCAGTTTTATAGAAAGAAAGCCAGCATTCACTGCATTCAGCAACGATGATTGCAATAACGCACGCAGAGTTTAAAAATGTCTTTCGTTTTTATAAAATTTCAAGAATAAAAGCAAAACGAAATGCGGAAAAAGTTGAGAATGACATTAAAAGAGAAAGAATCATCATGCAACAGCGTTTAACAAATTCTCGTTACATTATTTGTTTTGCATACGTGGCAGACTTAATTTAATGAATTTTCATTAACATTACATAATTTATTTATTTATCCTAAAATAAATTCCGTTATATTTCACTCACTATTAGCTTTAATATAAAAAATGAAAATAAATGTTAAAACTTATTTCAGTTCTTTTATTTTAACCTAAATATAACCCCATATATCTGGACTTTGTAACCAATTTCTCATATCCGGAAGGTCTTTTTAGTCCGGTTGTTATGGATTCTACTATATATATATATATATATATATATATATATATATATATATATATATATATATATATATATATATATATCGTGATCGACATCCGTCCATCTCGAGAGACGATGGAGTGGCGCGGTGCGCTACGAGCCTGGGCGGGATATATGGAGAACTAGGGCTGCCCAGAGGTCTAGTTCCCCCATCTCGGCCTTGCTAACAGAGTCTAAATGAGAGGATAAACCAATACAGTTTGGTACCAGCGCGGCTGCAGGAGTTGCCGGAAGGTAGCACAAAGTGCCGTCCATCCGCCTTAGGGGCTCCACTCCGGGTTTGAATTCAGAGTCGTCGTTCTTCAAGGCTATAGAACTGAGTCTGTCCTGCTATTTACCCATAGCTGGAGGGAGAAGAAGAGGATTCACACCTTTCTCAAGGGTATTAGCACGTAAATGAATGTAATGGATTCGACTGTAATTCGAACTCGGCTCTCCGAATCCACAATCCAAGCCGCTTTCCATTACTACACACACACACACACACACACACAAAAAGGGAAAAAAACGAATGTCTATTATGTTTCTAACGAATGTCTATGATGTTTTCTAAGCTTCGTATAGTTCCTTAATTTCGAGAGAAAATAAAGACAAAAATTGTTTAACATCTGTATATGCTTTTATTATGCTTTTACTTGATCTAAACTTTCGTTTCACATAAGCCATCTTCAGAGATTTTATACGGACATTTAAGCAAATATATTTACCAACAAATATGATATTCTGTTATGTTGACATATAAGCTTGCTATGCGACAATAACGGTCGTGGAACCATATGTCTAGATGTTCTGACCTTTTGAAATGTAATTCTGTTGAGTGTAATAATAACAGAATATCTTTGATGGTGAATATCTTTGTTTAAATGTCCATATAACCACTCTGAAGATGTGAGCCGAAAACTTAGATCAAAGAAAAGCATAATAAAAAAAAATATCCAAATGTTGTCAAATTTTTGTCTTTATTTCATTTTTTTTTTTTTTGAAGTGGATTTGATTTTTGGAGTGGAAAAATTACAAGTTGTAATACTTTGGGATCAAGTATAATGAAAAGCAGATTTCTACTTTGATTAAGTCAGCAAAGGTTAGTATGGCGTTAAATCTATCGGTTCTCATCCAATCCTGTAAAGAATTGATATAAAAGCGAAGATTATGATGAAAGATTTTATTCAAATGTTTGTGAATTTTCCGAGTGTTAGGAGTTGCATGTGTAGTATGACCTGAGTGGAACAGGAAAAAGTAAATGTGGTCAAAAGATATTTGAAGGTATATTAGACAGATTAAAAGTAGTACTGACGGCCAGCCATTCATCCATAGAACCTGCCTCTATAATAAATTTGAATTTTTGTTTTATTCTTTCCCTTTTCGTTATTCTGCAATTATCAACACTGTATCTGGAATCAGGTTCCAGTTCTTTATTCATTCTTTCCCACCTATTTCCCTTTTTCTTCGTCATTCTTACTAATTTCTAATCCATCCAAAAATTGTCGTCTGCTTTCCCTGTTCTTCCGGAAAGTGCCACATTCCACTTAACGACTATTGAGTTCTCGCCTGATTCGAGAGTTCGTTTCAATGTATTTCATTTTTCCTTTGCTATTTTCTCTTCGGAGAAGCTCGTTTTAGCTGAGGATTTTTTTTCTCTCTTTAAGTAGAATTGAGCTCAGCAAGAAAACGTACGTCTTTAGATATAGTTGCTCTCATAAAAAAAAGAAAACCTTCAAATTTTTTGCCTACTTCCAAAGATTTAAATATAGAAGAACTTTCTTAACATTGGATGGAAGTGTGCATTCCGAAAAGCTAAAAGCTAAGCAACATAAGAAACTTAAAAATTCGTTAGAAGCAAAGAAGAGAGTACTGGACCGTTATGTAATATGGGTTCTCCTATAGAGAAGAGAATGCTGGATAACCTAAGCACAGATGAAGATGTACACTTGAGGCAACAGATATGTAGTTCTATAGAAGGAGACAGATCATGTATGTAAAGAGGAGGTTCTGCTAAAAGTGGGAAGAAAAAGGAAACTAAAACATAGAATCAGAAAGAGACAATTGAAATTCCTACAGCATATAACGAAAGGAGAGAGGTTGGAGAATGTGACACACACAGGACATATTGAAACCAAGAGGAACAAAGGAAAGCAGCGAATAACTTCTGCCTGACATGATTTTGTAACTGGATGGCAGAACAGACATTAGAAGAGATATCAAAAATACAAACAAGCAATACTAAGAGATACAAAGAACCGACAATTGTGGAAAGCCATGATCACTGACGTCCTGAAGGTAAGTCCTCCCCCACCGAAACGTCCTTAGTATAACGATAAACTACACCCGGAAGCAAGGTGTCAAGGTTTTGAGTAGCATGGAACCACCTCTTAATTGCTGGTGTTCCCAGTTTCACCCTGACAATGTGTAGTAGCTCCAGTTAGGGTCCCAGCTATCGGCAAATAGTTAAACTCCAAACTGGGATCAAAATAATATGAAAATGTAAAAATAGGTTTTAATACGACCGATACAATTTTGTATAAAAAAGATTATTACCTACAATATGTTACCAGCAATAAAAATCATGTCGACATTAATGAACCCACTGAGGTTAACATGC